TCTTCAGAATATTGTTAAAAGGAGTTTTAACAGCTTTAATTCTCATTGCTGGCAGCTAAGGATGTTGAACATTTTAAAAATTTCATTGGGCGTTTGAACTTCTTTCGGAACTCTCTGTTCTATTCCTTAACTACTTTCTTTGATTGGTTGTTTGTTTTCTTGTTGTTTTGATTTTTAAGTCGTTTGTAGTTCTACATACTAATACTCTTAAATATACTATTGGTAAAAAATTTCTCTCATGCTAAAGGATGAGAGATTAGCTTCACCTAAACAACTGTTTCTTTGGCTGTACAGAAGCTTTATAATTTCACTCTGTCCCATTTGTTGATTACCACCCTCATGTCGTGAGTCACTGCCATCATATTCAGAAACTCTTTACTTGGGTTGATTATTTGTAATGTTGTCTCCTATTTTTCCTCTAGCAGTTCAGATTTTCAGGTTTTTACATTGAAGTCTTTGATCGATTTGGAGTTGCTTTTTGTTGTTTTTGTTCAAAGTGAGAGATAATATGCTAAATTCATTTACTTATATGTAGCTATCCAGTTTTCCCAGCACCATTTATTAAATAAGCTTTCTTTCTTCCATGAATGTTTTGTTAGCAATGTTGTCTAATCATGTGTCTGTAGCTGTGTGAGTTTCTATCTGGATCTTCTATTATCTTCCATTGATTTATTTTTGTGTGTGTGTCCCAGTACTGTGCTGGGTTTGTTTTTGCTTCTCTGTAATATTACTTAAAGTGAGGTAATTAGGTATGTCAGTACCCTCTTTATTACTCTTTTTCTTAGTGGTTTTTGTGTATCTGAAGTATTATGTGTACTAAAATAAATTTTAAGATCTTTGTCTACTTCCATGAAGAATGATATTAGAACTTTGATAGGGATTGCATTTTGTAAATTGCATTTGGCATGATGACCATTTTCACAGTATTGGTTCTTCATACTCATGAGTATGGTAGGAAATTCCATCTTTTATGTATTCCTTTTTCTCTTGAATATTTTCAGATTTTCACATTACAAACCTATCATTTCCTTGGTTGGGTCTATTTCAAGATTGGGGCAGGGCTTGTCAACAATTGTAAGACTATTTCTCTAAATTTCTGCGGCATATTTTTTATAAGTATGTAGGAATACTACTGATTTGAGGATTAATTTTTATATCCTGAAATTTTGCTGAAAGTGTTTATCTGTTCAAGTTTTGGGTGGCATGTTTACTATCTTATGTACAGAATTATATTATCTGCAAATAAGGATAAGTTTATCTCTTCCTTTCATGTTCATGCCTATTTTTATTTGCTTCTTTTTCTCTTATTGCTTTAGCTGAGAATTTCAATACTATACTAAGAGTGGAGAACATGTTTTGGAGGTCCCACACTGCCTCACCTCAAGCTAGGCCCTATTCCTTCCTATGTCCTAGGCTATCTGATAAAGAGATCTCCTTATCTCAGCTCTTCAACTGTTAGAAACCACCACCTCAGAACTCTCTGTAACCATCCAAGAGGTCCTTGTAAGGGACCCATTTCCAGCAGATTATCAATCATAACTCAGCAAAATTATCAGTCTTAATTGATGAGGAATGAAAATAACTTCCATGATAAAAACAGATTGAAAAAAATGTGTAACTGCCATGCAAGCCTTACAGATACAGATCCAAGCAGGCTCTGTGCTTGCCGCTTCAATCTCTGAGTTCATATCCATTGATAGAGAGGTCCTTGCCTTCCTGCTGTCCTCCATACCCTCTTGTTCTTAAATTCTTTCTGCCTCCTATTCTGATGGGTTTCATGAGCTCCAAGGGGAGGGATTTGATGCAGACATCCCATTTGGATCTATGTGTTCCATGGTGTGTGTGTGTGTGTGTGTGTGTGTGTGTGTGTGTGTGTGTCTGCTAAATGTCTGCCTGCTGGTCTCTGCATTTTTTCTTATCTGCTGCAGGAGGAAGCTTTTCTGATGTTGGCTGAATAGGCCACTGATCTATGAGTACAGCATAATATTAGGAGTGATTTTCTCATTATCTTTTTTAGACAAGTAGTATTTTACCCTAGGTCTCTGGTCTATCTAGTCTATGGTTCTTAGTTACACAAGCAGTATTGGGTATGGGTTCCATCTCGTGGAGTGGGTCTTAACTCAAATCAGATATTGCTTTCTACCATAATTGCCTTAGCCTCTTTTGCATGCAGGACAGATTATAGATCAGAAATTTTATGTCTGGGTTGGTGAGTTGATGCTTGCATTTCTTTTTTTCTTTTTTCTTTTTTCTTTCCTTTCTTTCTTTTTTTCTTTTTCTTTTCTTTTTTTTTGGTAGCCTTCCCATATCAAAGACAGTAGACCATAAATATAAAGAGTCTATGTAGGCATCAGTTCAATATCTCCATGTTCAATGAGTTGTATATATTATACACACATGCATACAAGACCCCATTGACAGTGGAGCCTTGCTGTCAGTTTGTAGAGAGCAATCTACTATCTTCTTAACAGCCTGGGTTATTTGGGGATTTTCATGTGACCCCTTTGACCAACAACTCAAATCTGTGTAACCTAGTCCCAGTACTGGAAGCTTCATTTGGTGACAAGAGATGGCCAGTTAGGCCTCTGTCTTCCTCATTATTTGAAGACTTCATTAGAATAGCCCTTATATATTTTAGGAAGTTTCCACTGCACTAGGTTTTCATATCACACCTCAAAAGCCTCTCAATTCTAGCTGTCTTTCTCTGCAATTTCTCCCCAAACCAGATTGTCCCTCATCCTCTCCACTTAATCCTCGCATTCCAGTTCCCCCATTCCCAGTCATCCTATAAGATCTATTCCATCCCCCATCCTAGAGAGTTTCACGTGTTATCCTTAGTCTTTTACTGATACCTAACCTCTCTAGGTCTACTGATTGTAGCTTGGTTATCATTTATTTAACAGCCAATATTCATAAATAGTGACTACATAACATATTTGTCTTTCTGGGTCTCGGTTACTTCACTCTGGATTATTTATTCCAGTTTCATCCATTTCCTTGAAATTTTCATGATGCCATTTTTTAACAGCAGAGTAATACTCCATTATGTAAGTGTACTATATTTTCTTTATTCACTATTCTATTGAGTGACACCTGGGATGTTTCCAGTTTCTGGCTATTATGAATAAAGCAACAATAAACATGGTTGAGCAAGTATCTTTGTGGTTAAGGTCAAACATCCTTTAGGTTTATGCTCAAGAGTTGTATAGCTGGATCTTGAAGTAGATTGATTTCCATCTTTCTGAGGAACCACCATACTTATTTCCATAGTGGCTATAAAAGTTTGTATGCCTACCAGCAATGGAGGAGTGTTTCCTTTGCTCTGTATTCTCACCAGCTTTGTCACTTGTGCTATTGATCTTAGCCATTCTGGCAGGTGTAAAATGGAATCACAAAGTAACATTTCCTTGCTGGCTAAGGACATTGAACTTTTCTTTAAACATTTCCCAGCCATTTGAGACTACTCTATTGAAAACAGTCTGTTTACATCTGTACCCCATCTTTAATTGGATTCTTTGGTTTATTTGATAGTTAGTTTCTTGAGTTCTTCATGTATTTTGGATATTAACTCTCTATTGAATATGGAGTTGGCTTTAAAAACAACAACAACAAAGCTTCTCCCTTTCTGTAGGCTGCTGTTTTGTCTGATTGACAGTGCCTTTTGCCTTGCAGTAGCCTTTCAGTTTTATGTGGTCCTGTTTATTAATTGTTGATGTTAGTGCTTGTACTATTGGTGTTCTGTTCATAAAGTTTTCTCTTGTGTCAATGCATCTATCAAGTTTGGTGTATCTGGTTTTATGTTGAGATGTTTGATCCATTTGGACTTGAGTTTTGTGCAGGATGAGAAGTATGGCTCTATTTGCCTTCTCCATGCAGACATCCAGTTTCACCTGCACCATATGCTCTTTTTTTCATATGCTGTCTTTTTTCCAGTCTGTATTTCTGGCTTTTTTATCAAAAGTCAGGTATCCACAGGTGTGTGAAATTACGTCTAGGTTTTCAATTCAATATCATTGATCAACCTGTCTCTACAAAACCATGCTGTTGTTATTACTATAGCTCTATAGTACAAATATGAAATATTTGAAATATGGGATGACAATACCTCCAGCAGTTCTTTTATTAGTCAGGATTATTTTAGCAAAAATGGCTTTTTTCTGATTCCATGTTTGTTTCTTTTTTTCATTTTCATACTGCCTCCTTTTTCAGTATTTTCCAAATTACAAATATGGTATTAAAAGAAGATAGAAATCCAGATCGTGTAGTGTTATGCCCACTTGGAAATAAGTGACATATTGTGCTATCTTGGCATTTAATCAGTGATTGGAAAAAATTGGAATATGTTGGTTAAAATGAGGCTTTAATATTAATATATTACATACACACACATGCATGCATACAAGCCACCCTTCTTCACTTGTTCTCTACAGTCACTGGCAAGTTATGTAAAAGCAATTTAAATTAAGAACTCAAATTCTGGAGCTGGGAAGACAGTTCACTTGGTAAAGTCCTTGTGCAAGTGGAAGGAAATGGGGTCAGACTCCCTGCACCAACATAAAAGTCAGATTGCACATATTAGATCTCTGTACTGTGGCATAGAGGGCAGAGATTGGCATACCCAAGAAGCTCACTTGACCAGCCTGTTTCGACGGAAAAGCAAATTCCAAGTTCAGTGAGAGATTCTGCCTCAAAACCAGGGCAACATAAACTGAAAAAGGGGATTAAAGAAGATATCATGGCATCAAGCCCAGGCCTCTAAATGCTCCCACACAGAAGACCATGCCAGCTCATATGTCTGTATACACACACATGCCACAGACATAAAGAACAGTAAGAAAAGGAAGTAGTACCCAAGTTTGAAATTAAGCTATTAGAGTGTACTAATTTTTATGGCATCAAATATTTTGACTATTACTTACTTGTTCTAATCCTTCCAAATTTCATATTAGAATCTGTATTATGGCATTTCTCCTTATTGTTAATTTTTTTCCTTATACTAGATGGTTTCCGAAAGGTGATTGCACTGCAGAGTGAAAAGACTAGCCAGAAGAATAAAATAACTTTTGAGTTTCAGCATCCACTTTTCAAAAGGGGAGAAGCCTGTCTTCTTGCAAACATTAAGCGAAAGGTAGGAAGAAGACCATTATCATATATTTTTCTGTAAGATTTAGGGGGCATTCACTAATATAAACCTTTTATGACTTCTTTTAAGTCTTAGCATGAAACTGCTGGAATTAGGAACTGGCTTGCAAGGTATTCTTTCAGGTTGCTCTGAACATGACCTTTAAGTATTAGTTCATCTAAAACTTAGTATCTTTTTTTGTGTGTTGTTTCTTGTGTCCTTTTTATCATGTAGACAGTGCTATAACATCTTTCAAAATAAGCAGAGGAGGCTAGGATAGATTTTGAAATAGTATCTTGAATATTAAATTTTGACAAAAAAATATTACAGGCCCTATCTGAATAACCCAGATCTGATGACAAGTCAAAGCTGACTATAAAGAAGTAACATAGTTTTTCACTTGTAAGATGTCTATGCGTGTTGAAAAATAAATTCATGTGAAACTTATCAGTCTACTGGAAGTACAGGAACAAAAACAAATGCAGAAAGAACATGTAGACTTCCACTAAGAATAGTGGTTCTCAGGGCTTCAGCTGAATATGTAAGAGTGGAGGGCCCTGCTGGGCATAGGTGGAAGAAGAGATCCTTGACCTCATGAAGGCTGGACGCCCCAGAGGGTGGGAATTTTGAGGGTGGGGAAGTGGGAGTGGGGGGGGGGGTAGGTGGGGGTTACATCCACGGAGAAGAAGGAGGAGGGGTAAGGGGATGAGGGGTTCCCGGGTGGGTGGGGGATGGGGTAAAGGGATAACATATGAAATGTAAATAAAATATCCAATAAAATTAAATAAATAAATAAATAAATAAATAAATAAATAAATAAATACAATAGTGGTTCTCAATATGTATTTTGAAACATCTCTATGGGTACCTTTTTAAAGAGAACTATGAGGTACAGTATTATCATAAAAAAACTAAAAAATAATGTTTCCATCCTTATTCACTTATGATCACAGTTCAACGTTCTTAGGTATACATGATATTTGATTACATAAGTATTCTTGTTTTAATGTGTGATAATTTCCACAGTATTGTAAATTTTAAATAATGCCTGTTTGTTTCCTGGCCTCCTTGGTTCTTAGCACTTTTCCCCAATCCATTCATTTTAAGGTGGTTCCCATTTTTAAATATAAAATGAGTTTCATTTCTTTTTTTTTCTCTTTTTTTAAAATTTTTTTTAATTTTTTCTCAAATCATAATTAATTCACACAGGGGTTATAAACACAGAAAGGCAGGATGTGGGGAAGGGAATGACACTGGAGTGTGGGTGTTCAGGGGGAATACAGATATCTTCAGAACCGGGTATCGGCTGGGTGAAGGTTCAGGGGACAAGTCACTATGACTCTGCCTATGACTCCCTTGTCCTTATCTAAGTTGGTATTGTCTGCCAAGGCTACCTATTTACAAGGTCTATGACTACTCAGACTTATAAATTTCCACAAAAGCTGCCTGTTGACATTAGCTTATAGCCATCTGTTTTAATGTTTTTCCACTGAGACCCAAGACTTGTATACATGTATGACAGGCCTATTGCTGATTTTAGGCCTATGGCTGATTTTAGGCCTACAGTGTGTAAGCAGGGCTGCTCCTGACATCTCCTCCCTTCTCTAAGTATAGAAGGGCTGTGGCAATTCTAAACTTGCGAAGGCGGGGATAGAGGCCTGACCTCCAGTATTTGAAGGGGACCTTGTAATGGCTCCAGTACCCCTGTCATTGTCCAGTGAGGCATGAGGGCCATACCCGTCCCGATGTTTTTTTCCTGGAGAGGGGATACTTTTGACATCAACCCCTATGCAGTCAGGCTTGTCCCTCAGGGAACCCAGAGAGATATTTTTATCTTTTATTGATAGTCCCTTGCAGTGCTTAGCCTCGAAGCCTAAGCAAGAATTCAGATCGCCTGTCAGAGGGGGTTCTGGGTGGCCCCTCTCTGCTTGGTCTAGGGGCATAAGTCCCCCCTTTTTGGTTGGGTGGAGATGGGTTTTGGAAATATCCTGTATAAAGTAACAACCTCATCTTGAGTCTCGTGGTCCTCCATAGCTAACTTATGATAATGTATCTGAGTAGGTTTGGCTACCAAATTATTTATCTGTTGTATCACAGAGTTAGTCCGCCTATTTGAGAGCCAGGGACCAGCAGAAAAAAAGCAAAAAGAACCCAAATAATGGTCCCAAGATGGAAGGAAATAGGGTTGACAACCTTGGAGAGGCTGCAAATCAATTCTTGTACCAGCATTCATCTGTCTCTTTCTCTCTCTGATTTTTCTTAGGCTTCACTACCTATATCATGCTCTCTTTAACCCTCCTTGTCTTGTCTATGTAAAGGTAACCTTCTTCTTTGAGGGTTGTACACAGTCAAGAGCTGTATACAGTCTTTTCTATTGTACTAGAGTAAATTAAGTCCAATAAGGATCTTTGCGATTTTAGGAGGTCTCTTCAGACGGCGAAAAGAGGGATTTCTTCATATTAGTGATGTCAATCTCTAGCTGTTTGATGTTCTTGTCAGTGGCCCTTCAAAGGTCTGAGTAGTATAGGTTTGGAGGCCAGCATCTGGATTAGAACTTCTAACTGCAGACATCACGGGTGATTCATTTTTACCTGGGATGCTGCCTGAGTTAAAGCTTCTGGGAGTCCCTCTTTCTCTCGGTTTTCTGGGGTTGGGTACGGAGCTGCCGCCTGTGACCTGCTCTATGCTTGGGCCCAGACCGGAAGTCCGAGTTTAATTTCTTAATCCATTCAATGAGCCCATGCCTTTTGGTTGGAGAGTTGGGGCCATTTATATTTGAAGTTATTATTGAAAGGTGTATGCTGGTTGTATTCATTTTGTTGTTGTGTTCTTAATTGTATTTTGTGTGTCAGTAATTATATCTTCATTTGTTCCCTATGGTCTTTTATCTATGCTCAATCTTCTCATCAGCTCAAAGTACTATTTCCAATGTAACCTGTAGGGCTTGTTTAATAGACATGAATTCTCTTAGGTATTTTAAATAGTAAGTTTTTCATTCTCCTTCAACTCTAACATATTGCTTTTCCAGGTACAATAGTTTGGGTTGGTATTTGTATTTATTTAGAACTTGGATTACATTGTTTCGTCCTTTTCTGGCTTTCAAAGTTCCCATTGAAAAATCAACTGTTATTCTGATAGGTTTTCCTTTATATGTGATATGTGGCTCTTCTCTGGCTGCTTTCTCTATCCTCTTTTCATTCTGTATATCTGTTGTTTTAATTATAATATACCAATGGTAGAGGGTTGTTGTTGTTTCAATTGCTTAGGAAAAAAACCAACATTTTCCATCCTTTCAACGTAAGAACTGCCATTTCTTTGGAGGGTACAAATCAATAGACCCTGTTTTTAACCTAATCCTCCAGTCTTTGTCTTTTGCCTAGGGAATTAATACCTGTCATAATCAGTTTATTTTCGTAAGGTGCATGTTAATTTCTGATAGTTTATTGTTTTGTGGTTTGGGGTTTTCTTATTCCTTGTCAAACTATTATAGGAGTATAATTTATTTTTCCTGTGTTCTCTTTCATTCCAAAGGATTCCTTCAAGTATCTCCCATAGAGCTGGCTTAGTGGTCATGAATGTGTTTTGTCTGTTTTTGTTTTTGTTGTTGTTGTTTTTCATGAAAAGGCTTTCTTTTTCCTTAAGTTCTTACAAATAATTTTGCTGGGTATAATAATTGACGTTGTCTTTAAAAACTTGAAATATGTCATTTTCTGATTTTTAGTAGTTTAGTTTGTTAATGTTACTCTCAGAAGCCTGCTTTTGTATGTGATGTCTCTTGTACTGCTTTCAGTATACTTCTTGGGGGAGTCTCTGTAGTTAGTGATGTTTATTTTCTGTTCATTTCCTAAATGCTTCTTATATCTGGGTTGATCATTCTAGTGTTGAATTATTCTACAGGCATTTTCATTCTATTTACATTTTTTCTTTTCAAATATTTCAATTTGGTTTTTCTTCAATGTTGCTAAATTTGGATTCTTCTTTCATAAGTTATGTTTACTTTATTATTTCCTTAAGCTATTTGCTTGAGTTCTCTTAGAATTCCTTCAGTTTATCTGTGTCTTCTTTGATTTCCTTGAACATGTTATAATTATCTTTATGGATTACCTAACTAATTTCATGTAACTAATCCTTACTAGAGACTAATTTTATGGGATTAACAATTTTTGAAGAACTAATGTTGCTTTGGTTTTTCAAATTATGGTTTTCCATTTTGTCTTGCACATCTGGTGTTTAGTTATTGATTGGATTTATTTATTTTTAAATTTCATTATGATTAACTAATTAATACAAAACCACCTTATTATTTCAGAGGGACTCTGGTTTTTTCAAGTGGCGCTCCAGTGTTATAGGGTTGAGTTATTGCTTTCATATGCGAGACTGCTAGTTAGGGTACCAAGTTTGATTCTTAGTGTTCACCTGAATTTGCATTATTGTCTGAAAAAAAATCACCATCAAGGGGTATGCTGTCAATAGCAGTCAACTATTAGCCAAATAAAAAGTTAGTCATTCCTATGCAACAATCACTTTAGGAACTAAAGGGATACAGATATTAGTGTGTGGGCTAATATACTAGCTGCTTTAGGTATGCATAGAAAGAAAAAAACATAAAATGAATAGCAGCATAGCAGCAGACCCATGAACCCACTTACACCACATGTCCCTATTCCACTGGACCCATGTCTTTGTACTGCAAATACAGCAGGTGTCTTTTTGACACTAAGTATTGATGAAAAAAGATTATACAAGTATAATTATGTGTTCAGCATATATCCTCCAGAAGTGCAAAAGAAATAAAGCTTTCTTTTGCAGAGACAGAGACAGAGAGACAGAGACAGAGATAGAGAGACAGCGAGAGGCAGAGAGAGAGAGAGAGAAAGAGAGAAAGAGAGAGAGAGAGAGAGAGAGAGAGAGAGAGAGAGAGAGAGAGAGAGAATAAATCAGTTATCAGTGAATTTACCCTAGAAAAAAATTAAAGGACATTTCAAGACGACCACTAAAATAGTCACATCATTAAAAAAGCCTATAGTGTAGGTGTAATTCTCCATAGCTACATAGACCGATCTTATGTTTTCATACTGTAAATATTGGCATATATCAATATGACCCATACAAACAAAATGTTCACCAAAAAATATGAGTATGAAATAGTCACAAGAAAAAAATGTACCATGAAAATAGACCAAATTTGTGCTTTTTAAATACCAAATTGAAACAGCCTCTATTTTAGTCATAGTGACCTCAGAATGACAGTTTCAATTCTAGAAGTAGAAAATAAAAAACATTGCTTCAATGAGTCATTTTTCAATCACATTGAAAAAGGAGTCAGGTTCAGACATCTTTGATTTTACTGAACACTTAATCTTCTGGGTCTAATTAAGAATAACTTTACGATATATGTCCTGAGGAGTATTTAATTTGAGATTAAAACTACTACGTGGGGAATAGTGATTCTCTTATCTCATGAGTTAGTGAAATAATATGTAATAGAGATACCGTATTTTTATTTTAATTTCTTATAGCTAAAAAGACATAATTTTATGTAGCAATTGCTTGGTAGCTTTCATTCCATTAGTTTGGTATATATTATAGAAGGTATATATTGTATCTGAAGATGAGATGCCTAGTTTATGAACTATCTAGATAGTAGGCAATGTGTTTTTCATCATGGAATCAAAAGAGAGACCCGGCTCATTGCTAATGTAATTGCTTCCTCTTTTTAATCCTGCTAAAATATATTATTATCTACACAGCTCATTTGCAGGTTACTTACATAATGCTTTTCATAGCCGATGTTTTTAAAGTTGAAATATACAATTTCTCTCTGGTCTGGTAATTACACAGCATTGCTTCACAGATCTTCTTATTCTTCAAACACATTTACAGCAGGTAAAACAAGGTAGAAGTTTCTATTCACAATTTTGAAGTTTTACTCTGAGGGAACAGGAATCTCTAGTTCCTATTCACAGATGTGGTATGATATAAAGCTTCAATTTAAAATAATTGATAATGTTTTGTTTGTTTAAATTATCTTTGTTACTTCTCTCATTTTCATTAAAAATAATAAAATTTATTTCATTTCATAAACCAAACCTCATAGTTTAATATGTTTACATCTCAGCAGGCCTAAAATTAATCTGTAGTGTATTATAGATTACTTCTGAGATTTAACCACACTGTAGATTATTCATGAGATATACCGACTCCCCCAATTATGCTCATAATCACTCCCAACAAGAAAATGGAGGGAAAGGTTCACACTTGAACTCCAAACAGAGTGAGATATGTGTATAACAGAACGTATCTAAATTAATATACTCTTTGTCAAAGTCCCATATAATGCTATATAATATATTTGGTTATGTTACAGTATTTACTACAAATTGTACTTTTTGTCCCTGTAAGGTATTGCCATTTCATTCGTGATAGAAAATCTGCCTTACTTAGAGTTTTTATTTTTCTTTTCTTTTTGGGTGGGATGAGGCATTTTTGACCTCAAACTTAGGATCTCCTTTCCTTAGCCTCCAGAGTTCTATGGATATAAATGTGTGCCAATACAACTATGATAAACATATATATATGTGTGTGTGTGTGTGTGTGTGTGTATGTGTATACACATATGTATATGTGTATGTTACAGATATATGTATGTTGTATATATATGTGTATAATGTGTGATATATAATACATATATCTGTAAGGTATTTATAAGATATTGTTCTTGAAATCAGGAGGAAGTATATCTGAAACTACGTTTTTTAATTTTTCATTTAATTTGTGTGTGTGTGTGGACATTTTGTCTATGTAACTGCCTATCCACAATGTACATGTAGTTCTTACACAGGCCAGAAGAGGGTATCATAGCCCCTAGGACTTGAGTTACAGAATAACCTGGGTCCTGTGGAAGAGCCGCCAGTACTATTAACTGATGAGATATATCTAATCTTTCAGGAGCGTTCGACTTAGTGGAAATATAATATTGTGTGTAATAACTACAATATAAAGCATGCATGGTATAGTACTGTAATCAAGGTACATTTACAGAATTAAATGTACTTCTTTCCATTAGTCATGCTTTTTTCTCCTTTCTCATTAGTACTCATAATGGATAGTTAATCGTATGCCAAAAGTTTAACCAGTCTGACTATAATGTTCTCACTTTAGGTGCCAACAATAAAAATTGAAGATGCCAACCTCTACACTGATGAGTTTCAGAAAATTGTGACTGAAATGCAAGAGTTTAGAGACATGCAGAGGAACATGGATACCAAATATGCAAAAATGAAACAGTATGTGTTAGTCTCAATGTTATAGCATCTGTTTTAAGTTTGATTACTTCAGAGTTGTTGAAGCTCTACTCTTATTTTTGATGGTACTTTTGGTATGATTTCTTTTAAGTTAAAACACAGCACTATTTCAAATGCTTTAAATCTTGAATTGCTATTAATGAGCCAGTAGCTCAAATATTGCTGATGGGCTAGCATACCACTGTACAAACCAGAAGTAAAATCACCAGGATATAAGACAACAACATCAATATGAATACTAAGCCAGATAGAAATTTCCATTTTAACCAAGAAAGGAAACTAGACAAGGGTGTTAAATGTATAAGCTCTGTATCTGAGTACTCTGATGTACATAGCTAATATTTTTTCTGATTCTTCCTTCAGTCTGTTCTTCCTTATTTCATTTTGGCCAATAAAATAAATTCTTTAAAATAGTCATTAGTGTTTTATAAAGAATCAGAGACCATAACACACCATAAAATGTCTCTGACAATAAGGCTTTAATTCAGGCAGTAATATTGTAAGGCAAATTTTAACCAGCTAAAAATATGCTCGGTAATAACTTTGAGAAAATATTGTAACCTATTATTTACTTTAGAGAAGTTATGTGTGGATAAGTTTTAGCAAATATTCATCAGCTTTCACATTAAAATTAAGATTTTCTGAAAATCTTCCAATGAAGTGTAAATGAACCTTTAACTTGATGAGTCTATCATTGGTATTTGACTTAGTAAATTAAGCTTTTCACATATGGCAACAGAGAAAGGAGAGAAGGGATATAGAAGGAAGAAGTATTTTTAATCAACATAGAAAAGAAACCAAGATTTTCTTTGAAATTGAACATGAGCCAGTCCTTAATATTAATTTTGTATGTCAGCCTGCTGTTGAATGTTAACCATTGCATATGTATATATTGTATGGGTGATAATGTTCCAGTGTGTTCTACCTGGTTTTAGGTGCAAACGAGTCCATACACTAACTCCTAAATAGTGAACAAAGTAGCCTTCTAAGGTTCCTTCTAAGCAAATGTTTGTAATACTTTCCTACAGTGAAATTTTCATTATTTTATATCATATTTATAACTAATTCTTAGAAGAATTAGGTGCCCACAATAAAAACTGAAAATCTCAGACTCTATCTGCTGAATTAGGTGAAAAGATGAGTACAGAAAAAATAATTTATTTGTTCTCATATACTTATACGAAATCCTTTTCTCCTCCAGTGATTGGAGAAATAATAAGAAATTTATGGTCTTGTTTTTTTAAGTATTACGGTAGGATGTTTGATGTATATCATTCTATTGATCACTGAAGTTCAAAAGTATCAAGTTAATCTGAGCTTTCAAGCCTATAAGTGTATGTGATTGGGCACACAACTTAGTGGTTAAATGATTTCCCAGTATGTGCAATGTCCTAGGTTATTATCAGCACCACTAAAAACTCATAGTCCTGAAATCTGTGTGAACTAATTAACTAATAAAGGCAGTGATTTTCAATAAAAAGTAGTAATGTTCCACTAGGACAACAAGGGTATAATTTTGTGAAGAACACAGTGAATATTATTAATCCAGACAATTCAACATGATTTTAGGTGTTTTATTTTCAAAACTTTAAGGAACACTAATATATCTTTGTTCATTCAATTAATCTATTCATGTTTCAGGGACTACTCAAACCTATGTCTTGAAGTTACAAACATAAGAAAGAAGTACTGTGAGCAACAACAACTGTTAACACAGGTATAAGTTTTTTTAAAGGAATTTTTGTTTCTCTTTTCTGTGAATCATTATTTTCTGGTGCTTTGTGCTTAAACATAAAATATTTGCAATATTAAGTCATGTGAAAACAAAATTGTAATTATAAAAAGTTACAGTTATACGTTCTGGAACCTCTCACAAGTTTTCTGTTTTATTGCTGATTCCCTGAATACAGAAAATGGTGTCATAGTTAAAAAATAGTCTCTGCTATTTTCAGGTACTCCATTTTATCTTGGATTTGATGAGTGAAAACCATACAGTATTTAAAAAGAGGAAAAGGTGAGAATTTGCTAAGAGAGGCTCCTTTATTCTCTTGTCTAAAACATTTTCTTTTACTGAGGTTTTATTTTTTTAGTTCCGAATATCTCAATGCGTGGAATAAGTATGTATCACCACAGAAAAAAATACCTACTAAGAAAAGCAAGACACAACATTATCCAGAAATAAAGCAAAAAAAAAAAAATAGAATACCTGTTGATTATGAAACACTCAATCCTTTCTCCTTAGGAATGAATCATTTTAGGAAGTAAGTAGACACATAGCACTCTACAAATTAGTATATTAGTTATTGTGAGAATGAGTAGAAATAAAAACAAGCAAGAAATCACACTGAGACTAGTGGTTAGCATTAGGTTGCTATGTAGGAAATAAAAGAGTAGAACACGTACAGAAAGGGGGATGAGAGAAGCAACACAAGAAGAAAGAAAAGGAAAGGATATAAGAGTTTTGTTAAAGATAAAGTGAAAAAATAAGACTATAAATATGCACTCAAATAATGTATAAGAGTCTCATTTCCAAAGAGGTAGATCCCCTAAAAACCATGTAAAACAAGCCAGGTTATGTTCTTCTTTGGAAGAGGTAAAAGAAGGAGGCAAGTGTACAGAGAAATGGGTGGGAATGGGAAAATACAGAATGTGAACAGTGGGGGACCAGGCTGGCCTGCTATATTGTCCTGAATATTACTTAAATAGAGGAGAATGAGGACTGAGTGAAGATCTGCAGCAAGGGTGGAAATCCGAACTTGCTCTCTCACTTCACTGGCTAGCTGACACTGGGATAAAAGTCTCTAACTGAAGATTTCTAATTAAATTTTATAATACTATCATTGTGTATGGTGATGGCTTTCTAATTACATCTTTCTTCTTTGTAGTTTATGTTCTACATGAGAAGAAATATTTCCATTTTCCTGATTATACCCAGTTAATGATTTCAGAATAGAATCATATATTCATAATTTACTTGAGGGATTTTAATCCTTACTAAAATAGATTCATTAATAAGTATATCCAGACATCATTATTGTTAATATTTACTTTGAACATAGTAAAATGCAACAGGCTTTATCTGTCTTTTGTCTGCCTACCTCTAGAATCAGGCATTATTCAAGGAACTTTTACTGCTTGCTTTAGTTTTATATTGCAAGATGTACTAAAAACTTTAAACCTTTTGGCAGGTGGCTAACATCCAGGAATATAATTCCAAATGATCACTGGCCCTTTTAAGTGAACTTTACCTTTGATTCTGAGACCTAAAGCACTAATTTCTAGTGGAAATCATGATGGCAAAGGACGAATAAAACTCAAGCTCAATACAACAGAGTTGGCTGACAATAACAACATTAATATAGCTTATGACAAGTTTGTGGATCTCATTACAGGTCATTATCATTCATATCTGAAGCTTCAGATTCAGAATCGGATCATCAGTATTTCTGTATTCCAGAGGACAAGAAGAAGGAAGCTGTAAGATTTTGAAGCAAAACCATGTTACCGGATGGATTCAAAACAAATATTTGTTGTCAATGAAATTTCTACCCCTAGTTCCTATCATTTTTATATAATTATTAAGTAATTTTCATGGGGATTGCAACAAATGTGGTCCAAGAAATATGAGATATACACAGAAGCATAGCCAACTCTCATTTTCTCTAACCTCTCTATTTAGATGGAGATATTAAAAGATGGTTATGAACTTGTTGAAGACAAATATAAAAGTCTCCTTGATAGAGTCTTACCAATTTTGACAGAACCCAAAAAGTTCATTTCATTGGCAGACCAGCCAAGTGGAGATGATGGGTAAGCAGGTGTTGTGGTCAATATATTGGCAATGAAACAGAATACTGGTGATATGTTAGAAATATATTATTCATTTGTATATATTTATTATATAGTGGACTTGAATCCATTTAAACGATTACTCTCTTTCATAAACAGCATAAACTACCTACAAATCAGGTAGTTTTTACCTGAATTTTCTTACTACAGAACAGTAGTTCTTATATCACAACAGGATATACATACATGTGTGTGTGAGTGTGTGTGTGTTCTGCATGTTGATGATAATCAGTTGAAATTCTTATAGGAAAAAGGGTGACACTTACAAAAAAGGAAATAAGTTAAAGGGTTTAAGATGACGTTCATTACTGGGAGAGCAACAATACCAACCAACCAGAGCTCCCAGGGTCTAAACCACCAGCCTGGGAGCACATAGGGAGGGACCCATGGCTCCAGCAGTATATGTAGGGGAAGATGACAGTGACAGGCATAGGTGGGAGAGGATATCCTTGGTCCTATGAAGGCTGGACACCGAGTGTGGGGGAATTCGAGGGTGGGGAGGTGGGAGTGGGTGGGTGAGTGGGGGCACATCCTCATAGAAGCAGGAGGAGGGATGGGATAGGTGGTTTCTGGGTGAGGGAGTAATGGGGAAAGAGGATAACATCTGAAATGAAAATAAAATATCCAATAAAAAAGATAAAGATCATTAGTAAAATAATTGTCTAGCACACAGAATTCCTTAACTTGAATGACTCAACTCTACAAAAATAAATTAGTACACATTACAAATTTAAGAAATGTAGCAAGTACATATTTGAATGAAATGGAGGCCAACAAAGTTGAGTTTTTCGGAGATATGGGAGCTGGCTCAGTAAATAAAGTGCTTGCTGAGGAAGCCTAAGGACCTCAGTTTGGACCCCCAGAATCCACATAAAAGCTGGGCATAGTGACAAAATTCTGTAACCTTGGCACTGGAGGAAAGAAACAACCATATCTTACAGACTCCCATACCAGCCAGTATAGTTTAAATAGCAAGCCCCACATTCAATGAAGAGACCATACCCAAAGAACAAGTTAGAAAAACATTTGATATTGGTCTCTGCTCTCCACACTTATATAAATAGGCAAGCATACATGCATATACACATACACATGCATACACCACATAACTACTGAATTGTTATTAAAGTTTGCATATACGTTAAATATTATAATTACATAATTTCCCCCTCCTCTTTCATTCCGCTAAACCCTCCCACATTCCTGGTTTCATTTTCTTTAATAGTTTTATATTTATATATGCATCGATATATAAATACAAACTGCTGAATCCATTTAGTGTTCTTTGTATGCATATGGTTTCAGGTCTGACAACTTGGTATTGGATAATTAATTAAGGGGTTCATACCTGGGGAAGACTGATTTGCCCTCTTTCAAAAGCTATTAGGTATCTGTAGTTCTTGTCTAGCCTGGGACCCATGAGATTTCCACACCCCCCTCCTTTTTGTTAGCAAGTCTCTTGGTGATGGTCTTATTCAGGTGTTGTTTAGGCAGCCATTATTGTTAAGGTATCATGAGTATAGCTTCCTTGTCACTTCTCGGAGACACAGTCTCACAGAATATTTCTTGGTCCTCTGGCTCTTACTACCTCTTGAGTCCTTCTTTCAGAGTGTTCCCTGAACCTTAGGTGCAGGCATTGTGTTACAAATGAATCCTTTGAGGCTGGACACCCACAGTCAATTCTCTGCATTTTGAAGAACTGTGGGTTCTTTGCAACTGTTTCCTTCTGTTGCAAAGAGAAGCTTCTTTGATGAGGGGTTAGAGTTATAAGCATTGTGGTATTAGGTATTCAATATATAGTTAGAAATGATGCTGGCTCAGTAAACTGGTGCTTATCAGTTCTCCTTTATGATTCATGACTTTGCTATTTGGTAGCTGGTAGTTGGATAAATTTCTAATACCAGTAATGATTTCTTTCCTGTAGAGCAGGCCTTAAATCTAATCAGATACATTTTAGTAACCACCAAAATGTGGGTGCCATTATTTAACCTTTAGGGATATCCATTCACTTTGGATACAGGATTTGCATCATTTTTATTGCATGAATTCTTTCCTATGATTTCTTTCTAAATGTAACATTTTACCAATATTTAATAAGATTATTTGTGTATGCTATTTTTAATGATGTTTTATTGATGGGAGGCAACTAGATATTAAGGTATATTTTTTTAAACATTTAAAACATAAAATGTTTAGACATTTGTTTAGACTGTTTGTTTGTTTGTTTGTTTGTTTTTAAGATAGGTCCTCACCATGTAACTGTGTCTGTCCTGGAATTTGCTATGCTTATCAGACTAGCCTTGAACTCATAGAAATCTTCCTCCTTCTCCCTCCCAAGTACTAAGATTAAAGGCATATTCCACCATACCTGGCCTTATTTAGACATTTAAAAACCTATTTGTATACTTGGAAGGCCAGATGGAGTATTGTAAGTATAGTACAGGAAAAAAAGAGTCTTATAAAAGAATGTCTACCAAGGGGACAAAGGAAGGAAAATCCTTCTAGTTACTATTTGGAAGGCATATGTTTATAAAATAAGGTGATATCCAAAGGAAACTCAAAAGGTAGAATATTTTGGTAGGATTGAAATATTTGAGGGAAAAATCATTATAGCGGTGAGCAAGAGTATACTATACTTAGGACTACAAAGGAGATTAGAAAGCTGCAAAATCACTTGTGTCTAAGAAATCCGTTTTCTTAGAGCAAAATAGTGAGAGGGACATATATTTTAAGAACAAATTTTCTTTTTTTGTTTGTTTGTTTTTGGTTTTTCGAGACAGGGTTTCTTTGTGTAGCCCTGGCTGCCCTGGAACTCACTCTGTAGACCAGGCTGGCCTCAAACTCAGAAATCCGCCTGTCTCTGCCTCCCAAGTGCTGCGATTACAGGCGTACGCCACCACCGCCCGGCAAGAACAAATTTTCAACAATAGTTCCTGAATTAAATTTTTGTACAGAGATTAGATAGATAGATAGATAGATAGATATGATAGATAGATAGATAGATATGATAGCCATCTGGGTAGCAAGTGTCAAGTATACCAAGTGAATAGGGGTAAATATTCCTAATAGTAGGCACATTTCAAAAATCAGACTATGAAAATTAATTAATTAATTAATGAAAATTAACTTGATAATTTGTCTTCTTAGGTTCAATGTGTAGGTATTCAAGTATTTGAGAGATTTCTAATTTTCAATTCAGAAAATAAATTATGAAAAATAAGACTAGTAATAAATTTGATTATTCAATATGAGACTTTTTAAGGAAAATGGGTGTTTGCCTGCATGCATGCCTGTCCATCAGTTGTGTGAATGGTGCCCATGGATACCAGAAGAGGGTCTTGGATCTCTTAGAACTGGAGTTACAGACAGTTGTGAATCAACATATATGGGTTCTGAGAATTGAACCCAGCTCTTCTGGAAGAGCAGCCAGTGCTGTTGACCAGTAATACATTTCTCTACTCCCTGATTATTCTACTGGAAAGAAATCACTAATGCTATGATGAAATTAACCTCTGCTATAGTTATATACTAATCAGTGGAAATTTTAGGTTGCATTGTAGCTTTTATATCTTTTCCTTGATATAACTTTTCCTTAAATAACTTGCTACATAATATAATATTCAAAGAACCGTATCATTTCCTCTTTTAAATGACAAAATAGTCCCTATACTTCTTTCTCAATTAAAATTAAGGTGATACAGTTTAGTGCCAGTATTTATTCATAAATGATATTCAGTTGTTTGTATGCATGTATGTACACTTTACTTATCTAGTCATTGGTTGATTGAAACACAGTGGATATGAGATATATATGTGAATGTAGGTCATATTATAAAATTTCTACAGTTAAGTTTTATGTTCATCTTTTTATAGTGCAGTTACTGAGTTGTCCATTTGTCATCATACTCCTTCATGAGAGCATTTTCATTACCCCTGTATGATTTTTCATTCCCATTTATAAAACTTATTTTGTCTCTAAAGTTTAAATTTGACTATCCTGGACACTTTGTAGCAATAGAATCATGTAAGTAATCATTTGTGCTTGGCTTGTTTCTCTTAGCATTTCTCCAATGTTCATTTATGCTTCATCAAGGACTAATAGTTTATTTCTTATTACTAAATAATCATTTGGTCTGTGAAGTATGTTAGAGCATTGTGTCATATGTTATACAAATGAAGTCAAAGGAGAGCATATTGGCATGATAGAAACTTTTGATCTGATTCTTGCAAATCTGCTTACACAATATAAATGGTTATACTACAGGCCATGCGATTTGAATTCTTCCAATATGTTGGGTTTATATTTCTCTGCACTATTTTTCAGAGAACACCCTCTAGTGTCAGTTCAGGATAAACCTATGAATGAAGAGTCACTGACCATTCAGTTGGATTTGACCATACCAGTTTTACCAGAACAAATGACCGAAGAATCCATTGAACAAGAACCTAAAGATATTTCTTTGGAATTGGATCTTTCTTCTCAGGATTCAATTTTGATGAAAGATAAACCAGACATTTTGTATGACAATATAATTAACAGGTATTCTGTGTCCTCCATATTTAATCTAGGTACTCATTTATATGGTTTTGAAAAAGAAAGTTTAATGTTATGCCAAGAGAAACATGATGTGATTAAAGAAGCGTTTTCCTTAGGTATCTCAATTCCTGACATTATCATTGCTTCTCATGTATTACAGATATACTGATAATACATTGACCGTTTCTCCTCTGATGTTAAATGAGAACCCAGCATTGTTAGTGTAAAGTACTACATCCTATACCCAATATTAGCCCTGATATTAAAGTGAAACTTCTTACTTGAAACAGAACTATAAGAAAAAAAGAACTGTCTTCATTTCCTGAAACTTGACGTTTGTGTATGCTTCAGCAAAAATCCTACTAAATTGGAGCCACAAAGGCTCCATTGTCAGCACAACTCTGTCCTGAGAATGTCTGCCTAAGTTTCACCTTCATCAGCAGTGCTTACAGTTGTGTATTTGAGTGCTTTATCATCTTATATTTGTATAATTCATTACTGGTTCTTGTTTATTGCCTAATCTCAGAGGGACAAAGGTCACATCTAGTTCCTGATAGACATGATATATAAATATCTTCTTGACAAACACACCAAAAAGATCTTCCTCAGCTTGACCCCAAACTAAACTGTAGACTCTTAGATGTGTTCATAAAGTAACAACTCTAGACACTAAAATAATCTACCTTTTAGTGTACTGAATCTTAGCAGATCCATGACAAACCACAACGCCAGTATTGATTAGGATGATTATTTTCAGCTGGATTTACATTGATAGACTTGGCCATTAAAGCTGAGTCCAAGATCTAAAAGATTAGGAAAGATATAGGGAGAAACAAAGGGTTCCTCTGCTATTGGCATACAGAAATTTAATAGCCTCTTGAAGTCAAGTTGAGTATCAATATTGATGGTAATAATTGATATAAATACAAATGTTTCTCAGAACACTGGGTTTCCTAGTGAATGACAAAATGTAGTCCAGAGCCTAGGAAGGAAAGTAAAAAAAAAAATGTGTAACAACTTTGTTTAATGACAGCTAATATGCGTGTCCCATTTACTCAAGTATGTGACTCTCATCTTTTGATGAGATTCAGACTGGATTTCTTCATAGAGAGGTATCAAATCATTTCTAAGCCTAAATTTAAATGTTTAGAATCTCATAAAGATACTCTAGTCATTTTGGATCAGCTAGTAATATTGTTGTGGTGCCTTGGATCTTAGTTTTCTGAGACAGTGATTTATCATCTTTATTTTGTATTAAATGATCAAAACATACAGTCCTGTGGCTACTGGCAGCTTTCTTGAGTTGAAAAGTACTACTCTCTATTTAAAAATGGAATAATGTGATATTTTTCTTCCATCCTTCTCTGGAGTTCACCAGGTTGAAAACTCTGGAATTTCACTAAGAGGTGGGCTACTCTTAACTGTTATAGCTGCTGTATCTATTCTGAAATATTACAGCAGTAGGCCTTATAGTCTAGAAATGAGATGTCTGTAACTCAAAAATGCAAAAAGTGCAATATTGTTTTTTGGTTTCTTAGTTGAAAGCCTGGCATAATCTTTTCAATTTATTGTCTGTTGGATTTTTCTAAATGATTGTTTCTTAGAAGTAATAATACCATGGTTTGCATCTACCTTCACTAACCATCTCTGATTTTTATTGAAGGGATAAAATGAATATGCATCATACTGATGAAAATTTGTTAGAGCTAAATTCATTACTATCTACGAAGGCAGTGAATGATGACTCTGATCATTTGAGTGAGGTAAGCTTGTCAACTCAGATTTGTAACTTTCCTGCCTTTTTATTGATTGCTCAAAAAGTGGAATGATATATAGAAATTAGCACTGAAAATATCAAGCCTTGAATATAAGAATACTTCTGTTTGTGTCTTGGCTTTTCCAATTCAGTATATTTCATGTTTGCCTAGCTTTCAGGAAACATTGTTTCTCTTCCTTTATAGCAACATCACAATTTGTCTTTACATGATAGTTTTCCTTTCATAACGTAAAATAGTAAATATTAAAGTATTCCATGATATACAGTTATGATGATTTGTTTATAGTGATTATGATTCCAAAGTTCATATTTTCACAGTACGTAGCAGTGCTATACAAAATCCCTTATCATGATATCTAGATGTTTATTTATGTCATTCCATTTGAAGGTCCTTCTTGCAATTTCTTTTCAGCATGTCTGTTATGAACTTTCTGTTTTTAATAAAAAACATATATGAAACTTTACTCAATATGGATATCATGGCAGAAATCAATATAAGATCCATGTCTCTTCTCATTATTCCTTTTAATGCATCATCTGTTCATACATTTACTGGTAAATATTGGCATAGTAAATTATTAGCAGAAAATCTTTTCAATTAAATGAATGGTATAAGATTAAGGTACACTGGATTCTCTCATTGACCTATTTTTATTTTTCTCAAGTCCCTTAATACATATTAATTACAAAACCTATCCAGCATATTGTATTTTCAAGATTTTAATACTTTAAGATACTTATAAGATACATTAGAAACCTGTCTATGCAAGTACAAATCCTTTGTTCACACATTTACAAAATAAGTACGCGTAATTAATAATTGACAAGCTTTATACAATGTCACAATTATTTATAGTACACACACATATAGTTCCAGCTAATTGGACTGTTGATGCAGGAAAATTTTTAGAGTCCGAGAGTTCACATCCAGCCTAGACCATACAGTGAGAACTTATCTCAAAAAAAATTTTTTGACATATGCTTCTATATGAACTGTTGTTTTTCTTGACAATTGATTTGTTTATAAGTTATACAAAGGAGAGTATTACTATATTCCAATCTATATGGTCATAACTGGGACAATGTGTTCAATTTAATTGGCTTTTACAGTGTTGATATCCTGAAATAACACACTTTTCTTGACAGCTTGTCTCAGGTATACAGGGAAGAATAAAAAGCAAACTAGTATATTTGTTAATTTTCTTTTTACCAGCTATCAGTTGCAGGCTTCCATGTGACACTTTCTTTTTTAATTAATTTATTTGTTTATTTACCTCCCAACTGCTGTCCTTTTCATAGTCGCCCCTCACAAAGTCCTTTCCCCCATCCACCCTCCCCTTTGCCTCTGAGAAGGTGGGGCTCCCCTGGGTATGTCTCTACCCTGGTGCTTTCACACACACACACACACATCTAATTTTGATTGGTTCTCCCTGCCACACTCCCCTTTCATTTCTCTCCCTCTCTTTTGTTCTGTTGTGACCTATTTTCCCCTAGCATTCCTCTTCTACTTTGTCCTATTGTCTTTCCCATGCCAATCCCTTAAAGACTCTAGAATTGCTTTGTCCATTCTAATGGACCCTTTCCTAGTTTCTTGACCTTTACCAATATTTACTTCTATTATGACACATCTATTTAACAGTTAGAGGCTAGGATCCACATATGAGAAAGATCATGTAATATTTGGATTTCCAGTTACATATATTATCTTATACATTTAATTATTCTTTATAACCAAGCTAATTCATTGAAAGACACATCAGCCAAGGTGGGGATGGGGAGAAATAACAGCTGAGTAAGAATGACGTAACATTAGTATCACCACATTATTTATCTTTTACCCATGTTTTTTTAAAAAAAATACAGAATACCACCCCTTTCTCTTATGCCATAAGTTCATAATTGTGTGTGAAAATATTTCAAGGGAAAGTCTGTGTTTTAGTCTCTGATTCAGCGAAATATCAGAATATAAATGTACTTGTGTATTAATATTGAATCATTAACCAAAATTTTATCAAAGAAACACTGAATTTTTATTATTTTATTTATATTTCAAGTGTTGTCCCCCTTCCTAGTTTTCCCTCTACAGACCCTCTCCCCATCCCACCTTTCCTTTGCTTCTTAGAGGGTGCTCACCCACCCACCTACCCACTCCCAGCTCACCCCTCCAGCATCCCCCTTCACTAGGGCAACAAGCACCTACAGGACCAAGCACCTCCCCTCCCATTGGTGCCAGATATATGTAGCAGGAGCCATGGACCCACCCATGTGTACTCTTTGGTTGTTGGTTTAGCCCCTGGGATCTCTATGGGGTCCGGTTACATAATATTGTTATTCTTCCTATGGGATTGAAATGCCCTTCAGCTCCTTCAGCTCTTCCTCTAACTCTTCCTTTGGGGTCCCTGGGATCAGTCCAGCGGTTGGCTGACTTAGTCAGGTGCTGGCAGAACTTCTCAGAGGACATCCATACCTGGCTCCTGTCTACAAGCACTTCTTGGCATCAGCAATAGTGTTGGGGTTTGATGTCTGCAGATGGGATGGATCCCAAGGTGGGGTGGTCTCTGGATGGTCTTTTTTTTTAGTCTATGCTTCATTTTTGTCTCTACATTTCTTTTAGACAGGAGCAATTCTGGGTCTAAAATTTTGAGATGGGTGGTGACCCCTTACCTCAACTGGAGGCCATGCCTATCTACTGGAGGTGGTCTCTTCAGGTTCTATCTCCCTGCTTTTGAGTATTTTGGTTAATGTCACCCCATTGGGTCCTGGGAGGCTCTCACATCCCTGGTGTATGGGACTTTGTAGTGGTTCTCAAAGATCCCCACCCCCTACTGCTACTTATTTCTATTTCTTCTCCTGGCCCTCTGTCTCTTCCCATACCTGGTCCTGCCTCCCTTCTTTTTTTCCCCTCCCCTCCCCAGGACCCACCCTCCCTCTACCTCTGGTGATTATTTTGTTCCCCCCTTCTAAGTGGAATTAAAGCATCCACATTTTGACCTTCCTTTTTGTTAACCTTCATATGGTCTGTGAGTTGTATTGTGGGTATCCTGAGTTTTGGGGCTAATATATCAGTTATGAAATAGCCATAGGGTTTTTTTCTGGAAATTAAAAGAGAAATTTAAAAAAATGAGCACCTAGTTTTTATAAATCTGTCTTTATTAAAATCTTCTTCAGCCTGGTATGGTGGCATACACCTTTAATCCCAGCACTTGGGAGGCAGAGGCAGAAGGATCTCTGTGAATTCAAGGTCAGCCTGATCTACAGAGTGAGTTCTAGGACAGGCAGGACTACATAGAAAAACTGTCTCAAAACAAACAAAACAAATCTTCCTTGCTGAGTGAGTGTGGGTGCATGGAACAAGTTAAAGGGATGAGACTTGGGAGGGGCTAGAGGAAGGTAAGTCATGTAATAATATATTAATTACATATAATAATAAAATAATAATATAATGAAATACATAAAATATTAAAATTAAAAGAAAATCCTCATTTAATGTGCAAATAATAAGGAAACACAATTCCTTCTAGACAACTGTCTGTAAAAGTATACTTGCAGATCTTTCTCTTAATTTAGTAAAATCTTATTGTTGCTGCTTTAAGAGAAAAATAAAACCCTATTCTCTCAGAAGGATTTCTTCAACTAGGGAAACTGTACAAATGGGACCATTATTTTTCATCATTAACCAATAATGGGGCTAGACTCTGAGGGAATTCATTCTTGTTGTCTTGTTTAGACAGGAATGACTTGAAAGAAGCATTGTTTCCTTTGTGTCAAGCATAGTAGTCTGTTTGGTGAGTCTCAACTCAGGTTAAAACATGCATTTTCATATATACAGGACATACTGTGTTTCCTTCATTTTTGTCCAATAAATATTGGTGGGTATTAGTTCAAGTTAAGTGGAAAATAAACCTACATGTTATAGTTGGCTGTACATGTACTGTGAATTGTGGATCGGTTTGTTTTTTCCCTTTCTGTTTAAACAGCAGTTAGAAAGAAAAACCAACTTTTAGAAAACAAGATAAACAGTAATGTCCTTTCTTAAACTGTGTTAATCTCACAAGAAATATGCTTTAGGTGCAGAGAATTGAAAGTAAGGCCTCATATTTGCAAAACACACCATACGCTCAAGGGAAATATTTTATCTCAGTTATTTAACTTCACTAAAAATGATATGCTGATAACGATTCTAGTGTTTTCTCTTTTTTTACCCAGAGTCTAAGTCTAATGCAAAGTGAAGAAGAGAATAATCTACTTGATCCCAGTGGGGGAAAAGGTACAAAAGAATATTTATAGAATGATCAGAAAATATATATCTTAGTTCCAGGCTTACAAATGACTAGCCATATGTTCCTTCGCAAGCCATTTACCATTTGAAAGTGTAAAAACTACTTTTTTATCATTTTATAAGTTATTCTAAATAATATTATATATATAAAAGAGCCCTGGTGATGACTATATAAACTTAAGGGAAAATATATTGTTGTGTGGCTGATTTTAAAAGCCATGACAAAACATCAAAAGGATACAGTGTAAGTTTATTTTTCACGTGACATTAAAAGTTCTTTTTCAGAAAAAAAGTCATTTACTGTTTACCAAGCCCAGTCATTCACAGTTAGCCTTATTTTTTATGGATACTGTAATCTACTAAATTTATGTTCTATTGGTTAGTGCTTCCTTAATTCTAAACGTGTATTTGGATGTAATTAGATCTCTTTTCCTATACAGAAGTACCAAATTTGATAGCCTATAGAAAGACTGATAGTAACTTCTAAGAATAATAGTATATTCTTCTTGGGTAAGATAACCAAATTGAAGAGTGTGTAACTCTAAAGATTAGAAGGATAATAGTGTCTCCCACTCAGCATTTAACAGTGTAAGACTTGTGAATTATAATTTGTTTTAAATTTTCTCCTCCTATATTACATATAACAAAGCACTATCTCTCCACAGACAAACATATGATGCAATGCATGGAAAAATCTGAGCTTTTCCTATTGGATGGGACACCAATATGTGATTTTGGAGAAAATCTTCAAGATTATGACATACTTTTGGATGATCTGAAGAACCCACCCAATGACATACTTTTGGATGATCTGAAGAACCCACCCAATGTCATATCAGCTTTATGTGACCATGATTATGCAACCTCCAATATTTCTACTCTACAAGAAGATAGTATTGAAAATGTTATTCCCCAGTTATGTATGGAAGCCATTGAGGAGTCCAATGTGTTCCCGTTTCTCTTTCTCGACCCTGTTACTGATATTTTTTGAAGAGCATATTGAAACCAATATTTTGTCACAATTCAATTTATTTTGAGTCTCAATGACTCTCGTTTCCTCTGGGGAAGTAGATATTCCATGGCTGCTGGCTAGTGTATGTATGTTCATTTGGACATTTCTGTAACTTAAAAAATATGTTAAAATTACAGCCTTCCAATATCTAGACAAGCTTTGGCAACAAGAAAACATAAGGAATATATCCAAATTTTAATTTTAATATAATAAGAAGTTGGTTAGTTTTTTTAATTTTTAAACTAATAATGTTCTAATACTTTACTTGTTACTAGTTTAGAGATTAGTGTTATTGCATTTTTCTAAGTAATTAGAAATTTTCTGTAGCTAGACTTTGTTTATAGTAAAGAAACAATTTTTACAAGGTTTAAAAGGAAGGTTTAGAGTTAATGAAAATGATGTTACTCCTAGATTTTACAGATATATTTATTCTATAGCTTTCCACTTTATTTCAGTCTCACACTATTTTTAATTCCTAAAGAAAGTTAATAATTCAGCAAAATATATTTTTTCTGTATAATGGCCATCTCATATACAATAAAAGTCAACATATTGACTCTCATCTAAAACCTTCAACAAGAACTCCAAGAACTCCAAGAATCAAACTCTAGCAAACATTTTCCTTAAAAGCATGCAGAAACCCAAGAGCAAATGGTTTGTTTGAAATTAAGCTTAAAAACTCCCAGTCAACCATTTCTCAACTATATTTATCTATGATTTCCACAATAATCTCTAGCCATATCAACATTCTTTGACAGATATGTAATGATTTGATAGAATATTATCTTTCAAAAATAGTATAGTTTTACCTAAATCTGGAGCAGTTTTCATACAAACTATTCCAACACCAACATTCATACATGGCTTAACACTGAGCATCTTAGCACTTAAAATCTAAGGTTATCTGTTTAGTTGAAGAAGCACTTTAGAATATGTTTAAGGCTTTATGTTAGTAAGCTGAATATTAAAACATCAAGCTTCTATAGGGCTCAGTTTGTAACACTTTCTTACTGCTTTATTTCACCTGCTAGAATGGTCTACAAATTTAGTTGGTTTTCACCCCATTTATTTTTCAAGTTTAACATGTTCTTCAATAGTCTCACTAATGGAGTCAGCTTTAACAGGAAGGGGAAGCAGGTCATTATGTTCATTATCTGTTTTTAAATGTATATTTGTGTAAATAAAAAGGTTTGTGCAATTTTGAGAATTCTTAAGGAAAGTACAGATCTCATTTAGTGATGGCTGAGCTTTTGATATACGGGAGTGAACTCAAGTATTTCAACACTGAAAAACTTCTTGTCATTGTAATGTTATCTAAGTCAATAAAGGGTTGAGCATACTTTCATGGCATCATATCCTTTGTTGTAAACCAAGATTTGTAACAATAAGGAATGAAACTTCTAGGCTGCATGTACATGTACTAAGAAAAATGTGTTACATACACACATTGATTTCTTTTCTCTTCAAAGAACTTATAACTCATAGGGAGGAAACTTGTACTTGGTACTGTGATTTTTTACTTCATAACCCATGTCTTCTGGAGGAACATTGTGCCCTCTCCATGCATATTACATCCACTCCAACTCCATTTTTATCATATTTTGAAATTAGCTTACTAACTAATGAATTTGCATAAGGCTTTTTCATGTACCCTTAGTATTTATGAGCTAGCTGCTCACTTCTCTTTTCCCCCACAATCACTGGTCCCCCATCTCTGTTTAATTCTCCTTTTTTCCCTTAATTAATTAATTTATTCATTTTACATCCCAATTGCATCCCACCTTCTTCCAGTCACTCCCTCATCTAGCTCCCCTCCCCTTCTTTTCTGATTACCGAAGACTGTGGATGACAACCCACCCTAACATATCAAGTCACTGCAGGACTAAGCACTTCTCTCCCACTGAGGCAAGACAAGACAGCCCAGTTAGGGGAACATGATCCAGAAGCAGGCAACAAAGTCAGGGACAGCCCTGCTCCAGTTGTTGGGATGAAGGCCAAGCTGCACATCTGCTACATATGTGCAGGGAGTGGGAGGAGGGGGTTAAGTCCAGTTTATGCATGCGTATTGCTTGCTGGTTCAGTCTCTGGGAGCCCCCAAGGGTCCAAGTTAGTTGACTCTGTTAGTCTTCTTGTAGAGTCCCTATCCCCTCCAGGTCCTTCAATTCTTCCTCCAACTCCCTGAGCCCTATCTAATGTTTAGCTGTGGCTATCTGCATGTGTTTCAGTCAGTTGCTGGGTGGTACCTCTCAGAGGACAGTTATGCTAGGCTCCTATCTGCAAGTATAACACTATCATTGATAGTGTCAGGGATTGGTGCTTGCCTGTGGGATGGGTCTCAAGTTGGACCAGTGATTGGTCGGTCATTCCCTCAGTTGGTGCTCCATTTTTTGTTCCTGCACTTCTTGTAGGCAGGACAAATTTTGCGTCAAGGGTTTTGTGGGTGGATTGGTGCCCTCCCTGGCTAAAGGAAGTGGCCACTTCAGGTTCCATATCCTCACTGCTAGGAGTCTCAGCTAGACTCACTCTCATAGACTCCCTGAAGCCTTCCCATCCCAGCTTTCTGGCACATCCTAGAAATGGCTCCTACCCACCGGCCCACCTCTGATTTCCATTCACTCTCCTGGCCCTTTCTCCCTGGCTTTACCTACACCTGCTTCCCACCCCACCCCTGTTTCTCTTCCCGTACCCTCTCCCACCCAATTTCCTCCCGTCCACCCTGGCATCCTCCCTTGCACCTTCCTTGTTATTTACCTTCTTTGGGTCTGTGGAATGTAGTGTGGGTATCCTCTACTTTATGGCTATATCCACTTATACATGCATGTCCTTTGGGGTTTGGGTTATATTCTTTAATTCCCAATATTTCTCCCTCTTCCTACATTTTACATACTGGATATTCTACAGTTCCTCCAATTAACTTGTTTTAGCTATATTGTGATATGGTAGATTTCCTAATAAATTGTCATATCCTCTTCCTTGGTGACTAGTCGTCTCTCCTTACACATTTCCTAATTCCCTTCATACTCCAGTGCCTCTGCTGGGTTAAGCCTTCAAACCTAGACAAGTCCAGTTCTCTATTTTTGTCCTTAAGTACAATTAGACAACTGTTAGTAATTCAAACAACTGTTAGTAATTTGTACCCTTGGGCTGTATCTTGCTCTGTTGATCACTGTTGTGGTTTGTAGGCTTTATAGTTGGACAGAACCACTGATTGCTTTTCTAACATGACACCTTGCTTCTGATCCTGGGACCTAGTGCTAAGGTAGGAGGTTTCCATGTCAGTTGTAATTCAAGTCTTGCAAGTCCTCTATCTGAAGTGTGTGGTGTCTTTAACAACATGGACTTACTTTCAAGTTTTAAAAGGCAACCAAGGGTAACAGCTATAGCCTATATTATTTTGTGAGGCTCTTGAACTCCTATGACTAAAGACTACTCATAGAGTTTTCCATGCCTGGCTCAGGAGATTTCAATAGATTGTCTATGGAACTTGGGGGGAGGGGATTATCAGTCCCAGCGATGTAACTTGATTAAGTGTGTATGCATGTGTGTGTGTACACATACTTATATGAAAACAAAATAATTCTTCCTTATGGGTTTTTCAAGGTTTAGTGCCATTTATCATTCCTTCCTCCTTCTTTCCTATATCCCCCAAGATAAATACATTCCAAATTTTTCTTGTTTTCCACTTCACAGCACCTGTGTCCTATGATTAGAGCTACAATCCACAAATTAGAGAAATCCTGTGCCAGTTGTTTTATCCGGGTCTGGGTTAATTTCACCAAATATGGAATTTTCTAGTTCTATCCATTTACCTGCAAGTTTCATAAGAGTTCATTTTTCTTTAGAGTTGAATACTGTTGTGTGTATACACCACATTTTCATTATCCATTTTTCAGTTGAAGGACAGTTGCTTCCATTTCCTAGCTATTGTAGATAGAGCAGCAATGGACTTGGATGAGCAAGTATCTACATATAAAGTAGAATGTAGAGCCCTTTGGGCTTATATCAAAGAGTGGGATAGCTGGGTTATATGGTATAATTATTTTTAGCTTTTTGAATATTTTCCATGCTGATTTCCAGAGTGCCTTTACCAGTTTGCAGTCATATCAACAATGAATGAGAGTTCCCTTTTCCTCACATCCTCTCTAAAATTTGTTTTCAGTTACTTCCTTGACCATAGCCATTCTGACTGGTTTGTAGCTAAAGATATATAGCACCTTTTTAGCCATTGATAACTCCCTTCAGTTAAGTATTATCTTTCAACAGGGTTGTTTCCTTGATTCTTAGGGGGTTTTGACACTAATCTTTTTATCAGATATGTAGTTAAGGAAGGATGAAAAGTTCTTATAGAAGAGAAATTCAGTTACATAAGGAGACATAACTTCCCACAAATTAAAAATATATCTGTATTAAACCACATAGTTAAATATGCTTTAACATTAACCTTGTTTTTGTTTTAATTTGCCATACATGCTTTAGTCATGCATATTATACACATATATTGTTTTACTCTATTCTTATTCGTCCCCCTTACTTATTGCCATCACTTATTACCCAGGCTACCATCACCATCTTCCTGATCTCCTCCTCCTCCTCCTCCTCCTCCTCCTCCTCCTCCTCCTCCTCCTCCAAATTGTCCCTCAATCTGCTTCTATGTCATATGTATTCTGATACTCATTTTCCCTCACTGTCTCCTCACTTTATACCTCATAGTAGGCAGGTAGATAAAGAGGTAGGTAGATGATAGATAGATAGATAGATAGATAGATAGATAGATAGATAGGCAGAGAAACAGAAACAGAGTTTGCACATGGTATAGAATTTTTTTGCTTTATTGAGTTTAATTTCACTAAGGTAGAGATCTGTAGATACAACCATTTGCTTTTAGATGCTATTATTTGCTTTTCTTTATCACTGCATAAAATTTAATTTGCTTATGCACCATATTTTATGTCATTTTACTTGTTCATGGACACATAGGCTGACTCTGTCTTAGGTATTATGATTACTTAAGCAATAAATATGAATTATAACATTACAATGTTTATCAAGCCATTAAGAAAGTATTCTTTACTTAAAGAAATGTTCAACAACATAAGTCATGAGGAAAGTGCCAATCAAAACTACTTAGAGGTTTCATTTTACACACAGCAGAGTGGTTAATATCAATAAAGCAAGTGACAGATCACACTGACAAGGACGTGGAATTTGTTGGCAGGAATACAAACTTGGACAGCCACTATGGAAATGAGTGTGGCAGTTTCTCAGGAATTTGGGAATTGATCTACCTTAAGATACAGCTAAACCACTTTTGAGTATACCCAAAAGACACTTAATCCAACCACAGAGATCATTGCTCAACCATGTTGATCACTGCTCTATTCATAATAGCCAGAAACTGGAAGCAACCAAGATGTCTCTCAACAAAGAATGAATAAAAAAAATGTGGTATATTTACAATATGAAGTATTCAGCTATGAAAAATAAAATTATGAAATTCATCCTGAGAGAAGTATCACAGATCCAGAAACACAAATCAGTTATATGTGGATATCAACATTTAAGTCAGTGAAAACCAAGCTGTACTCTAAAGAACCACAGAGGTTATGTGTAGAGTAAGGGACCAAGGATTACAGATAGATTTTTCCCAGGAAACTAAAATAGAATAGATAGCTATGGGTGGGGGGAGTAAAAAGAAGATCAAGTTGGGAAGGGGAAAAGAAATGGCAACCAGGGAGGGCATACAAAGAGACACAGATAAAAGTAAGGGCCATTTTTGAGGAGTGGTATGGAAACCTAATACAGTAGAAGCTTCCTAAAATCTATAAATGAAATTGCCATATAATGGGGGATATAGAGCCCTGACTGGCCATATCTTGATATCAAATGAAGCTTCCAGTGGGACTGGAGTTGTTGGCTAAAGGTTTTCCATGGGAATTGCCAAACAACCCAGACTACAAACTATTGATAAGGCCTCATTGCTGAAGACAATACCTACACAACTCATTAAGTATGGAGAAGTAGAATTGGTTCCTACACAGAGCATTACCCCCGACATTTTCGTCTTTAGTACAAGAAGATTTACTCTGCACACTACCAAGGAAGAACCATCAACACTAACACAGCCACAAAAAGAAACTGTCCTTGAAAACTTTTCTTTCTTTCCTTTTCTTCCTTCCTTCCTTCCTTCCTTCCTTCCTTCCTTCCTTCCTTCCTCTCTCTCCCTCC